TGCTTTAAAATGGGTGGATTTCAATTCCCAGAATTCCTCAGCCAGCAAACTTTTAAGATGGGGGGGGGGACTTCAACTCCCAGAATTCCCTAGCCACTGTGCTTTAAAAATGGGTGAACTAACTCCCAGAATTCCCCAGCCAGTTTGATTTAAGATGAGTGAACTTCAACTCCAAGGAAAAAGCTCTTTCTTCACTTTCTTGAAGTCAAGATTTCTTATGTTTACCACATTCCCGCCATCTATTAAGAAAGTTACCACCCTATCATAAAATGTTGATAAGGTGGTTTTTGTCCTTTATCCATGCTGAATTCTGGTAAATCCTTCCTGGCTGGGGAATTCTGGGAGTTGAAGTCCAGCCCTCTTAAGAGCTGTCAGATAAAACACTGCGGTCACAAAACCTTTAAAAAAGAAATCTGAGATCTTTGCTCAAATGAATTTGTAAGCCAAGGATCTTTTGCAACTCCCCCCATAGAGATGTATGAGTGGGAAGAAGAAAGGTTGGCTGAAGAAAGTAGGGCACCTCTGCACATGCTCAGGGGTGCTGTTGTTGCCAGAAGGCATCCCACAGAGATAAGGTTGGGACCGGGTGGCTTATTGGTGGCTTTTTCCAGCCTGGTCCTCTTGGGGTGCACTGGGAGGGCAGCGACCCAAATCCCCAGCTGCTGAGGCAAAATGTTGCATCTGTTCTGACCCAGGCTTCCCAAAATGACGAAGCAGACTCCTCATCCAAAAAAAACCCCCTTTTTTATTAAGCTAATGTGAATTCCTATCATTCACATCCAGCAAATTCCGAGCAAACAGTCTTTCATGAGATTTCACAACTATAGACCTTTATCAGGCTTGGAGAGTTGCCAGGCCGATAGCTTCCAAACGCCACTCTGTAGCAGCAATTACTTGGCAAGAAGTCAGGAACAGATCTTCACTCTAATGAATTGAACTAATTGTCTCCTGCAAACCCCACTCCCCTTTCACCTCCTCTTTATTCCCTCTGGGAGGGGCCATTCACCGTCCCCCTGTGCCCTTATTCATGAGTCGACCCTTGTTCCTTAGCTGTTCCCTTCTCCGGGCAGCTCTGTGCATGAGCACGCTGGGAACAGGCTCCAGCTGTTCTTCTTCCCCACTGATCTCCGACTCCATAGGCAGCTGGTAATTGTCAGACAGCCCTGGCCCCACCTCTGCCTCCGACGCAGAGCCCTCGTCAGAGCCTTCCCCAGACTCCTGGACTGGCCCAATGTTCCTCCCCAACCTCCTCACTGGTTCAAGTGTGCCGCCAGCTCTGCTGGCTCCTGGCGGGCCACAACAGCATGCTACACGCGCAAGATTAGCTTCCGAATAAAGGGAAAATCACCAAAATCTTGGATTTTTGGAAAATCTTCCAAAATCACACCAGATTTTGTCGTCTCCCCAAACTGACCTTCAAGGCAGCGAAGTAGCGGAGCGTCTCTTGCTCGTAAACCAAAGGGTCCAAAGCCCTCATGAGGAGGATGATCGTTAGGAGACACCCTAAGAGGAGAAGGAAAAAAAAAGGTTTAATCAAGTTACCACCAACTCAACTCAGTGCCAATTCATTCGCGAAAACTTCCTTTATTCTGCATATTTTTCTGGGTGAACGAGAGCGGCAGGGAAGCGTAAAGCAATTTAGTTGCCCGCCTACCCTAATTCTGTGGCTGGGGGGTCCCATTAAAAACCATAAAAAATTCCCTTTACGTTTAATGTTTCCCTCGATCACCTGTTTATAGGTAGTCCTCGACTTACGACCGATGTTGGGAACAAGAATTTCCGTTGCTAAGGAAAGGGAAGTGGTGGTGATCTGAATCACGCTCGACTTTACAACCTTTTGCTGGCCTCGTGAATCCCGGAAGTCGCTAATTGAAACATGTGGTCGTTAAGTGAATCCGGCTTCCCCCCCCGACGTTGCCGTGTCGGAAACCAGCTGGGAAGGTCACGAATGGCGATACACGTGACCCCGGGACGCGGCAATAACACACTCAAATTATAATGGCGAGACCGTGGGTAGGTTGTGAGGGCTGTAAGTTCGAGGACCGATTGTAAGTCATTTTTAACCGTGTTGTTGTAATTCTGAATGGTTGTAAGTCGAGGAGCGCTTGTATCTTTCGAGTTGCTAGTCCTGAAAAATGTTGTTAACACTGGGGGTGCCCCTCTAGAGGTTCTATAGGCTGACAGTATAATCTTAAGGACTAGTAACTTAGGAAAAAGACTTGAGGCCGCTACTGAGGCCTCTTCTCAGGATCCACCCCGAGCTGTGTGGGGCCGAAGGAGATCCCGAACCTACACTTGTTCTCCGGCTCCAAGGCCTGCAGCTCCTTGCAGGATTCCAGCTCTGACTGCAGCACCGTTGACTTTTCGAAGGAGAGTTCGCACCTGGGGCAGGAGAAGGAGGCAGGAGGTCAGGAAGGGAGCGAAAACAAGGCTTTTGGCCACAGGGAAGGGAGGAAGGGGAAAGAGAGAGAAGAAAAAGAGGGAGGAAAGAAGGAAGAAAGGAGGGAGGGAGGAAAGATGGAAGGGAGAAAGGAGGGAGGGAGGGAGGAAAGTTGGGTAGGAAGGAAAGGAAGAAAAATAAAGGGAGGGAGGGAGAAGGGAGGAATGAGAGGAAGGAAGGAGGGAGGGAAGAAGGATGAGAAGGAAGGAAAGAAGAAGGGAGAGAGGAAGGAATGAAGGAAAGA